TCTTTATAATTTAACAAATAGTAACATTCTATTTGTTGATTCTCTCAATCAATTGTATATGAAGTAAAATATTCCATATGCTAACCCGGTCAATTAAAAGTGTCATGAACTAACATTCGTATCACTCCAAAGAGTTTAAAATTGTTTTACTGAGATTGTGATACTGTGCTATGCCATATCTTGTTCAATATTATTGAAAAACTATTCACTAATTAACATATATATTTACACTCATTGACAAAAATAAATATATTTTTATAAAAAGTTGTGATATCAATGTATGAAATTTGAACAATGTACTCCAGGTCTAAAGAGTTAAAATAGTGAGTAACTCTTCGCTTTAAATAATAAATGGGAATAGCGCCAATAAAATATCAACCTCTGATAGTTTAATAAAGAATATAAAGATCAAAATAAGGATACAGGACAACCTATGTGATTGTGACAACAATAAACTTGTATGTTCTGAGTGCATGGGACTCTTTTCTGGTGTCACATTGCACTGTTGCGGTAACTTAGTGGTGTCAATATTGTATTGTGATTTATTTTGTTTCTGGCTTACTTCTAACTATCCTGATTTCTGATACCCCTGACTTGGTTTACCATTTTGTTTATTGTTAGGTATTCCTCTACCTTGGCATTTCTCTGATTACTAATTACCTTTCTAATGTTGCATTATGCCTGGCTGTTCTAAGGACCAGTAATACTCATCTATCCTTTTATAAATCTTAGGATAGTGTGGTTTCAAGTACTGTTTGTTGGGTATTACTGTACTGTGACACATAATAGTATGCTGGAAATGATCTCCGACTAAGCTGAGATGAAAAACCTTCTTTCATATGCACTATGTGGACAAAACTATCTGGACTCCATACTAATTATTAGACTTGTGCACAGTGACAAAATTTGGTTAATAAGAATCCATTTTGGTGTTGTCCATTTTGTTTCAGTTTGGGCTATTCTGTTGAATGTGTCATTTTGGGTAAAACCATTTGAACAAACCATTTGGGGTGAAAATTCAGCTACTAGTGCACTGCAAAATATATACACAATGTAAATATTATGTTTATATTTTAAACTGATAGGCACATTTTCTTCCCTTTTGGTTCCCAAATCAAGTGAGAAGTTTATAAACATATATATTTTTACTGCTCCTCCTTCCCCCCCCCCCTACTTTTGGTCACTTCTAAATAGATCTGGTGCCAGAAGTGGAACTCATTACTTTGGAGCAACAAAGTGCTATGATTGCAAATTGGATCCATTTTGGAGAAACTACAGTTCAGCCACATAGTGGTAGACAATGCATTCTCACAGATCATAGACATCCAGCGCTGAAGTGAGTAGCATGTAAGACCACCTATCATCTATTACATGACTCACTGCATTGTTTAAAACTGTCTCTGGAATCAATATTAGCACAATAATTATGCATCAGGAGTTTCAATGGCCAAGCATCTGTACACAAGCCTTACATTAACATGGGCAATGCTAAGCTTCAGCTAGAGAGGTGTGAAGCATGAAGCCACTGGACTCTGTAGCAGTGGAAATGTGTTCTCTGGAGTGATGAAACATGCATCACTAACTGGCAGTTTGATGAAAGAGTCTGGGTGTGGTAGATACCAAGAGAATGCTACCTACTAGAACCCATAGTGTCTAATGTGCTACATAGATTTTTTAGACACTTGGGTGATTTCAAGTGTTTGGCAACAATTTAGGAAACCTCTTCCTGTTCCAGCACGACTGTACTCCTGCTCACACAGAGAGGTCTATGAAGACAGGGTTTGATGGGTTTGGTGTCTAGAAACACAGTGCACTGTACAGAGCCATAAATTCAACCACATCAAATATCTTTGTGATTAACTTGAATGCCAACTGCAAACAAGAACTTTTCATCCAGTATCAGGGCCTGAACTTACAAATGCTAATTTTCGATGTATGGGTGCACATTCCCACAGACACAACTAAAAATCAGTTGGAAAGTATTTTAAGAGTGGCAATGCTTGTAAGTGCAAAGTGGGGCAACTCAATATTAATGACCATGGATTTTCAAACAAGCTCATATACTTTTCACCATATACTGTAGGTAGTCAAGTCCTTTTAGGCTCTTAAATTACCAAACAGAACCGCTTTTACAATTACTACAGGTTAGCCTCACTAAAAATTAACATTATTAATTACAGTGGACAATGCAGAAGGCTTTTACTGTAAAGATGTATTGCTATATGTTCAATAAGTAGAGTTGCTATGCTGCATTTACCTGTATTTGCTATGTATTATTCTTTCATCATCTGTTTGGCTCTGCAATTGTCCAAAAAGAAACTCATCCTTTACAACTAAGCAGGTTTATTTACTAAAGTCATACTATAACCTTTACAAAATTGTGAAAATATGGAGGCATCTTAATTCACTAAATGTATCATCTCCCATTAAAGTAAGACAACTCTCAGATGCTGTAATCGAGGTCCAGATTTGCAGTAGATTAGTTCTGAATGTAATAAAGTAACAAATATATCATAAACCAAACATTTCTGATACTTTACAATAATAAACATACTATATGCAATTTTCGCAGCATGTAGCAAGATCAACAAATAGTTAACACATTCAATTAATACATTGAGAGAAATCATAGTGTGAGGGTTAATACTCAGCTGGTCGCTTTGCTTGCATGGGGTCACTGTACAAATATTGAGGATTTTTGAGTTTTGCCTGCGAAAACAGGTAATTTTATTTTGTGAATGTGCCTCCTACAAGAATACTGCAGAGCCTATATTGTGATTATTCGCTTCTTGATACATATCTGGAATTGCATCTAGCTGCTGAGTTTTTTTTAGCTGACACCAGATTGATAAAAATCAAATGTCACATATTCAAAGCATAATTTTCCTGTAGTTAAAATCAATTTCACAAATCTTGGTAAAATACTTACATTTTCACAGAATTTTGTGAATCCAGAGTGTATATGGACTTCAATGAATAAACCCTAATTAAATGCAAAACATTCTCACATCAAGAAAGTCAAAATAAACACATGTTCAAACTGAGAAATTATGTCTTGTAATAGCAAGATTTGTTTAGTAAGGATGTGGTGTGAATCTTAATACTTCACATTGATCTTGCAAGAATATACCCAGCTCTCAAATTGTATTTTTTGAGATGTCTACAGGAATATGATATGGTTTAATGTTAATTAAAATTTTGACTTCAGTAACTTTGAGGTCTCCTTATGCATTGAACCATGACATTGATTGAATGGAAAAGGCAATGTGAATTTCATACTTAAGCAAGAAATAAGGGTGTTGTTGGAACTTTTAATTAAGAGTCAGTTGCAATAAAATGATGTGACACTGTGCTATTTAATCTAGAATGCATATAGGATTAATTTGCCACCTTCACCAAGTTTAAAAGGCCAAATTCATAATTTGACTTTGATTTACATAGATATCATATCATGTTAATTGTAGAACAAAATGTGACATCTACCCCTAGATAATTTAGTAGAACTGTAAAATATAGTGTCCAGATTTAAGGTATAAAGATGTAATCTGAGTAACTGCAGCCTTTCATGGAATATCCATTGGTAAAGCTTGTCTTGAATCTACCTTTGTCCATTTTAAACAGTTCAATAACATGACTGCATTCCTTATTAATAATTTAATTGTGTGTGTTTGTATCTCTCTGTCAGTGTGTGTCTGTCAGTAAGTGTGTCAAGTCAGTGAATGTGTGTGTGTCTGTCAGTGAGAGTTTCTTATTAGGTGATCGACTACCATTTTTTTCATGACATGCCAGACTCGCCGAGGCTGGTGCAGAAGATCGCCCACCTACCCCCACATGGCTGAGATCATCAAAGCCACGCTGTGCCAATTAGTATCTCCTCATTAAGATGCTTTGAATCAATGCATCTCTATGGGGAGCATTAAGCATCTCCATGTAGAGTGTAGAGTTTCTGAACGTAGGTGATGCACATGTCTGAGTGACTGTTACTAGAGGTGTTACTAGGCAGCAGTGTAAATAATGCCTTTTCTTTGAAAAGGCAATGTTTACTTTGAAAAGTGTGCAGGGACAGGCTATAGACATTAGAATAACTACATTAAGCTGTAGTGGTTTTGGTAATTTAGTGTCCCTTTAAAAAATATATTTTTGAAGTTGAAAAATCTGGCTCCTAACTTTTTTTAGCTGGCTCCTAGTTTCCAAGCAAATTTGTCAAGCCCTGACCTAGAGATTGTTTCAGACAATGTGCACCTCTTCATTGCAATGGTGTTCCTTGATGGCAGCGACCTCTTCTAGCAGAGCAATGAACTCTGCAACACTGCAACAATTGTTCAGCTATTTTTTCAGGAACATGACAAAGAGATCAAGGTTTTAACTTTGCCTCCAAATTCCCCAGATCTCAAGCCAATTAAGCATCTGTTGGATGTGCTGGAACAACAAATCCGATCCATGGAGGCCCCAGCTTGCAAGTTTCAGAACTTAAAGGATCTGCTGCTAACATCTTGGTGCCAGGTACACATTAACAGGTTTTGTGATGTAGTACAGTTAGTGGAGCCTTGTTTTTTTCTGACATTCTTTATTGTTGTCGTGCATAGGATCACAAATAAACTTGCAGAGACATTACACAAGAGTATATATGACAATGAAAGATTTGTAGGTGGTACATGGAATGTCAAGGTTACTGTACTATTTTATAATAATTAAAGAAAACATCAGGAATACAATTCTACTAGACAAGTGGAGAGAGAAACAGAGCTGCTGTAACATAGAACTGTAGAGAGATAATTTCACGAGGTTAAAAGACTGGGTGAGTGAAGTTAGCCAAAGCAGAGAAACAAATGGGGCCTTATAACTGTAAGAGGCAACATAAATAAATTGGAGATAATATCTTAAGGCATTATCTGCTTGGGGGGTAATAAAAATCTAAATCATTAGTACAGCTTGTAACATATAAGATAGTGAAACATAGGATAACATAGCTGTAAAGAACATGCAGTCTCGACATGAGATTACTTAGCCAATACCCCAAGATGGTTGGCAATAGGCATAGAAATCCATGAGTCCACAAAGCTGTGGGGGTGATCCATGAATCTAGCACATAACACTGAACCCACTTTGATGCTTGATTTCAGCACTGCTGCACTGTAAACCCCCAGCAGCGTGGATGATGCTTGCGGCACTTGCCTCTCAAAGACGTGAGGTGGCGGGGTGCAGAGTACGGTGTGATCAGAGCAGATGTCATCTGTGACCTCCTCAGTCTCCACTTCTCCACTAGTGTGCGGTGGTTGTGCTCTATCTGCAGTAGTTGTCTGGACCTCCAGCTCTTCCGCATTGTTGCGTCGACCCACAGTCCAAGATCGAGAGGGTTCACCAGAGCTCATAGGAGGAGTGGTGATTCCCTCAGCTTTGCCCAGAATTGGGCAAACAGCCTGTGGAAGGCCTGAGGAAACTGTTAATCATAGGTAGATGGCTGTGGTAGGGTGTATAACAGCATGACAGGCTTGGTATGACAGGCTTTGGTATGACATCTTGGGCAGTAGGTCGCTAGCTTGCGGGTCGCTTAGGCTACAAAGCTGCTGAGTGTAAGCCACGAGAATGGAGAGTGGAGATAACTCTCCACTGGTCCAGAGGGGGGGAACAGGGCACAACAGAGGGTGCTTTCCAGACTCCGGCAGAAGATCGCCCACCTACCCCCACATCGGGTATGTCTACAGGTCGCAAAGGCTGTGACAAAGCAGTCCCAGTGCTCAGCAGGGTACTCTTTGATGGTAGTGTGCATGATTGTGCAAAAATGTAGTGAGCTAATGTCCAGAATTAGACTTAGTAAAAAGTTGTCTCTCGAGTCTTCAGTGTCTTGCAACCATCTTAGTTGGCTGTCAGGCTCTGCCCCCATAGCTAGGTTAATTATAGTTGTGTATATAAAGGTTGTGAGTCATGCGCTTAGATATTAATAAGGAATAGTGTATAAGTAACAGCCGCTACACACTTTAGTGTGAATCTCTCTTACCCACTAAATGATACAATTGAAAAAAAGGGTTCTATATCCTGCTAAGTCTCAAATATGAGTGGAGTGCTATAGTTAGGTGAAGAAAGAGTAATTACACTTACTCCAAACAGATGGAATATTCAGACATTAATGGAACATAAATGGGGTAGAAAAAAAAATCACATAGCATAAATCCCTGATGGATACGTGAAAATAGAGAAGAGACTTATGAAATGTAAACTCACATGGATTAGAGCCTCTAGATGGACAGGCTCATATCACATCAGCGTCTGTGCCGTCTTGTGGCACTTGACCCTTTGATGGTTCCAGTAAATATACTCAGAAGATAAAAAATAAACAATCCGCTTATGGTGTAGTATATTGTAACATATGAGCAATGACTTTAATTTAAAGTGCAAATAAGTGCTCACCTTTTCCAGAGCCAATGGAACCTGGCTGTGGGAAATAATGCCTGGGTGCCTATAAAGAGGGCACCAACACTTCTTTGGAAGCAGAATTGGAGGAAGCCAGAGTAGGACTAAATTTAATTATTATAATAAAATTAAGAAAGCATACAAGGAAAAGCAAAATAAAATAAGAAATATGCAATAAAGTCTAAAAAAAGTCCCATAGAGGCTCCTCTTGCTGAGACACGATTCTCCCAGATCACTGGGCTTTCTCAATCGGAATGTGAATCACAGCTGCTTCCTCTTGCCATTGGTCCATTCAAAATGTCTATGTCCAATCAGATTTCAGTTCCTTATGGAGGGTTAAATGTATCTGCTTGTTTCCAGTTATCCTTAATTCCGATTGCAGGAGTGATGCGGCACCTCCCGCTACACCACTTCTGGCCACAGGGCGGCTATCTTCATTGTGGGCACTTGCCAGCTGCCATGAAAACCGGAAGTGACACGTCGGAACCGGCCGTTACGTTACCTCCCCGATTGTGCATATTAACCACTTCGGATACTGGCAGCCTTAGTCTCTCTTCTGTTTACATGAACTATAGTGTATTGGGATAGATGGGCATCAGCATCAGAGCTCCCTTAGACAGAAAGAAGTGTACATGAAAAAACATACCTAATAATAGCATTAATACTTGTTAATAAAACATTAACTCATATTATCCCAATTCACTGGTAATGTTTCTGCTCCACTAGGGTAAAAAGTATAAACTAATAATAATAATAGATAAAAAATGAATTTATATGTGTACATTAAATAGAGTACATATTGTGACAGAGTTTTGGGGATGGTGGTCAGGGGTGTATATCTGGCACCCAGACTTTTGCGCAGCCACTATCCTGACATGTGGGTAAGCACATGCAGCTCCAGGGAAAGTTAAGTTTAAATGTACCATAGTTTTTTTGTTTTTTTTCTATGTTGTTATTTGGGTCCCTGGTGTGACGAAAGCCACTTCGTCAATGGGTTCTGTAGAAGACTTCTTGCCAGTCTTTTTACCTTGTGACTATGGGCCCTGTGACTTATTTAGTTCTAAGGCTGCTGGGACTTTTATCAGTACCACTTTGACCTTTCAAAGTGATTCGAAGTGGTACTTCAAACCGTCGGATAGCCGAAGTACCGGACCACCCATAATTGGACCTCCCAGAAGTTGTGGTTAACCGCAGCTTAATTGACGAATGGCTGAATGGTCACCATTCGTATAGTTGAACACGTGGCCATCTTGTTCAGTCGAACACGGTCAGCTGTGTTTTGCCATCGAGTTTATGGTTGGGGTTTTGTCATCCTCCGCCCACCCTGGACCCAAGACCGGGCTCCAGTTCCAGTAGGTAGACCTCTCTTGTAATCCAGAGAGCAGGAACAGGAACAAGTATAGTGATTATACTCTGGGGAGTATAGTGTTTATAGCAATCCCCAGAGTGTAGTTCTCCAATCCCCCAAACATGAGCCAAGACTTCATGAAGGGGTAAGCAGGTCTGTTTAATGGAAGCAAGCACTCACAATTTATACAATTCCTCAGGCCAGAGGCACACCCCCTGGACCTGATGGTATACAGGCACACAAAGGACACAAACCAATCAAAACAATACAACAATGTCTGACACTCCCACATATACAGTAAAATCCCTCCCTTCTATCCTTGAGATAATTGGCTTAAGTAACCATAGTAAACTCAATTATCTCCAGGTACAGAAAATATCACTAAGTTACAACTGCAACAAAACACATTAAAATACATAACTAATATTCTACAGAACTGAACCCCCACATTTAACCTATCCCCAGATAGCTCGGATCTGAGCGCTCAATATATCCAAACAGTGCTCAGATCCCACGAACATAGTAAAATTGTCATGGGGTTAAAGTTTGTGGAAGCCTCTTTTGACTGACCGCACGCATGATTTCATGCCCAAAACAGTTCCAGAGAAATTGGCTGTGCGGCCAGTCTATTTCCAATGTTAAATGCAGTTCAAATAGATGAATGGCAACCGTTCGTGCAAACCGTCAATGTTGAAGTGCCGTTCGAATTGTCGAACGGTGTTCGACTCCATTCGAAGTGTTGAAGTATGGAGAAGGTAAAGTTAAGCGGTGTTTGTGCCGTTGCATGTCCGATTTGAGTTCCATGAACTCGACAACCAAACACTGCTGAACGCGTTCGACTGGATTAAAATGGCTGCCACCACGTGTTCGTTTGTCGAATGGCGGCCCGTTCGACTACTTTGGTACTTCGGCTGTATCCGAAGTGCCACTTCAAAAGTGTGAAGCTGTTCCCATATATTTTAAAGGGGCAGCAACAGCATATTAAAATCCAATATGCCCAACGAGGGCTTGTAAAGGCCAATACATCCCAGGAGCCATAGTCACAGGGCAAGAGGCTGGCAACCAGGCCTCTCCAACTCCCAGTGACAAAGGTGCTTTCGTCACAGTGAGCACTAGGAGCATCCGTTGGCTAAGGCACTCAGTTGCAGTGCCAGATGGTCAGTCACACCTGGGGTGGAGTATTTGGAAGAGCAGGGTGGGTCGACTCTCCACCCCACTGTCACAGTGGATGTGCATGAGTCCAGCCCAGGTTTTCTGAGGAGTTCTGGCTTACTGCCTAACGAGGTAATTAGACTCACCTGTAGGGTCTGTGAGCAGCTTTATAACTGCTGTTAAAGCAGGGTGGAGGGTGGAAGTGTTTTGTGGAGAAAGAAGGTTGGAAGGTTTTCTGCCATTTGTAAGCATTGCTGCTTTGCATATCCTGTTGTATCCTGATGTACCTGGCTACTTATTAACAACAGAAAATAAGCAGGACAGAGGCCTTTTAAACTGGACTTTGTCTTGACCTGGCTTCCTTACCCTAGAGGGCTGTGCAGTTGCCAAACGATCCTGAACAAACACACACAGGGAAGTAAGTTTGTCACAATGTGTATACAAAAATGTATGTATATTAAAAAAGGGAGTAGAAACATTTACAATGTTTATACAACACAATGTGTAAAGTTCAATAAAATGCCTTATTGCAATGATCAAGTCATATATATATATAAATAGTGGGAAATCATCTCCTATGGAAAATTAAATAATTCAAAGTCGCGGTTAAGTCCATGCGGTAAAGAGGTATGGTATCTAAGTTAAAAATCCACCGCATCTCACAATGTCCCATTTTTATGATTAAATCTTCTCCCCTCCAATTTGTTTTAATTAGCTGTATACCAATAAAACTCAATGTTGTGGGATTTTGATTATGTTTCTGTTTAAAGTGCAGTGATAAACTATGTTGTTCAAAACCCGTTTCTAATATTCCTTACGTGTTCCTGTATATGGGCTTTTAAAAGTCGTGATGTCCTCCCCACATATGCCAGACCACACGTGCACGTTATAAAATATATGACTTTCTTGGAGTGGCAGGTAATGAGGTCTTTAATTAGGTATTTTTCAACTAGATTGTATGGTTTGTTGAATTCATTAGGGAATCTTTTTATTACCTAAACTTTTGCAGGCGATACATACTCCACATCCATAAAAGCCCACAAGTTAATTGAACATGTTGAATTAATTTTTAGGCTTAATATAATTGTGTACCAGGTTCCTATTTAGATTTGGGTCTCCCATATTTGTTATTGTTGATTTCTCTGGGAGGAAAGTGTTAAGGATCTCATCCCCTCTGAGTATGGGCCAATATTTATTTATTATTTGAAGATATGCCTTTTACAGTTAAAATCACAAATTAAGGTTATTTGATCATCTTTTTTTTGTCTCAATTTTTTGTTTACACCCCAAGAGGGGTAGTCTTTCTTCTTTTTCTACATCATTGAATGCTTTTCTTAGTAGATCTTCCTGGTATGCCTTATCTTTAAAATCATCTAGAATCTTTTTCACTTGTGTATGAAACATTGTATGTTCCTAACAATTCTTTTTGATCCTTAAAAGCTGGGACTTCGGGACGTTTAA